TTCAAATTAATGGCAGACTTTCTTAATTGTTATAATGCTATGTTAATTAGTCTATCACCATGATATTTGAAATAACTATTACATAGGGGTCGAGCATCCATATCAGGTGAACGTAAACATTCCGTTTTGAGAGATGTCATGATCGGAAACAGACAAGAAGGGTATTTCCATGCAAACATAAGATTCTGGAAAAGAAGTAGTATTGTATAAATGCGTCTCTGAATTAGAACATCAAATAGGCTATTATGTCGAAAATTATAATTTTCATAATTATTGATAAAGGGTTGAATTATGTCGAAGACATGAGATTAACATTCGTTGTTTACAATCTTAAAAAATATAATACTTTGATTCAAATGTCTTCTTTTACTAAGTGTAAAGAAGTAAGTTTCTCTTTATACTAATTAGGGCTAGTTCCAGGTCTTAAACATATAATAGTACGTGCGGCTTCAATTTTGTACAGTTTGCCCTTACAATACTCGCTATTTTGAGATTGGACATACAAAAGTAATATAAATAATCCCTAATGATTTTTCGTCAATTTCAAATTTAACATTCTAAGTATATTTAATATTTCATAAGGGTTTTTCAATATAGTTTAGTTCAGCGCTTACCAGGCATGACATTGATCACTGCGAAATGGAGGGTGCACTGTGCTGTTAGTAACAAAAATTAAGTTGTTAGTTAATATCCCATCAGGTAATCATGGTAGGTTGAGTAATGAATAGTATTATCTAATCCATGCTTTAATAATATTCTATGAAGACGTGATTTAGGATTAAGATTTAACATATCTACATTAATATCTCCAACCAGGATTATTTCTCTTAGGAAGTCAACAATGCTATCAAGATTATGGTCAAATGTATCCCAAAAGCATACATCTATAAGTAACCAAGAGAGTTAGGGAGTCTCTATAAGTAACCAAGAGAGTTAGGGAGTCTCTATAAATAACCAAGAGAGTTAGGGAGTCTCTATAAGTAACCAAGAGAGTTAGGGAGTCTCTATAAGTAACCAAGAGAGTTAGGGAGTCTCTATAAATAACCAAAAGAGTAAGGGAGTCTCTATAAATAACCAAGAGAGTTAGGGAGTCTCTATAAGTAGCCAAGAGAGTTAGGGAGTCTCTATAAGTAACCAAGAGAGTTAGGGAGTCTCTATTAGTAGCCAAGAGAGTTAGGGAGTCTCTATAAATAACCAAGAGAGTTAGGGAGTCTCTATAAGTAGCCAAGAGAGTTAGGGAGTCTCTATAAGTAACCAAGAGAGTTAGGGAGTCTCTATAAGTAACCAAGAGAGTTAGGGAGTCTCTATAAGTAACCAAGAGAGTTAGGGAGTCTCTATAAGTAACCAAGAGAGTTAGGGAGTCTCTATAAGTAACCAAGAGAGTTAGGGAGTCTCTATAAGTAACCAAGAGAGTTAGGGAGTCTCTATAAGTAACCAAGAGAGTTAGGGAGTCTCTATAAGTAACCAAGAGAGTTAGGGAGTCTCTATAAGTAACCAAGAGAGTTAGGGAGTCTCTATAAGTAACCAAGAGAGTTAGGGAGTCTCTATAAGTAACCAAGAGAGTTAGGGAGTCTCTATAAATAACCAAGAGAGTTAGGGAGTCTCTATAAGTAACCAAGAGAGTTAGGGAGTCTCTATACATGACCAAGAGAGTTAGGGAGTCTGCATAAGTAACCAAGAAAAATGTGTTCATTATGCGGGGTTACTTCAATCCATATCAATTCCAGATAAATGGAGTCAAGGTAAACTCTCCGTTTAGTATATACGTTATCTTTTAGTATAAATAACGATCCCGTCGCTGTAATTGTTAGCCCTATCATTTCTAAAAATATTACCAAATTTTGCAAGAGAAATGCCACTTAGGAATAGAATCATTAAGATTCAGAAACACTGCGTATTCAGAATATAGTAGTTTGTTCCGCAGTAACATATATTGATATGACAGATGGATATATACTCAAAAACCAGTATTCAGATTTTGATGTGGAACCGGACCAGGATTCGGGTAGATATCAACTCATACCAGTAATTTGTTTTTATGAGAAGAAAATGCATAGTGTTAATAAAGACAAACACTATAGACACTAAACGAAATGATGTCATTTTTTATTTCACCATGCCAGGGTACACCGCTACTTTATTCATTATCAAAAATGATATATATGATGTACATGTAAGAAGCAAATCCTGGTGAAGGAAAAACAATGAATGACACAGTTATTTTGAATGTAGTAAATTTTGGCAGATTAATATTTAATCGTTGTAAACAATATTGACATGTTTGACTGTAACTATGGGACACAAACCAGACAAACATGCATTTTTTAACACTGACAAATAGGATACAAAAGAAAAAGAATGGTTCAAAAAAGCATAGGTGTAATTTGGATGTCAATTGACTAGAAATAGAACAATAGAATTGTTCCTTAAGACCCACCTCTCTGACCTTCAATGGTCTCGGTTACTTTTGTACTGGTGACTCCAATGTTTGATGGATTTTTCCTAACCCGAAAAGAGGCAAATCATTCTAACCAGGATATTACATAACACGTGCACGATCGCATAAACACCACGTTCTTCATCAATTTATTTATGCTTTAGAATACAAAACCTGATATGTTTATTCATGCATTAGTATACAATTTACTTACATTTATATAATATATGCCTGTTTTATATGACTTTATATGAAAGTGCAAATACATTCGCCACACTGACACTATTTTTAAGCTTTGTTAACATTTAATAGAATGACCTCTTCCGTGACCCTAGAATATCATGTTTTCCTAGTACAGACAGCCATGGTATACAAAACATATGACTCTAACTGTTTGTGTTATGGTAATTCTCTAAGTTACATTACATTAACCCATGCACGTGCTCACAAAGGTATTGGACGTAGGCTAGGCTTCAAAATACAATAAATAAATAACTAAGTAATGAAAGTGTCGTACTACTCTGAAAAGTAGTTTATAATAATTTTCGAACTGAAATCGCTTGTATAGCTGAATTTGATGACATATGTGACATAGTCAACGGACAATGCACACGCTGAGAAATGGATCATTGTGTTAGGAAATACACTCTGAAACAGGAACGTTCTTTCGTAAATAATCATTTTAATTGGGATACTATATTCACTTATTTATGTATACTATTAAATATCGAACCATTGTAGACGAAGAAAACACAAATAGTAAGGCTGCTGTTTACAATTTTGATAATATTACACTTTTATAGTCTGACTATCGATTCATTTGAGGGATATAATCTGTAATCATGGTTACAGTATCAGTGTTGATGGGTGATGACATTCTCAATCTCACGGAGGAGGGCTTCTTGCTAAACGTTGACCACGGGGGATGTTGTCTGGAGAGAGCGCTAACTAACGAGTTCAGACAGTTGAGTGAGATTCCACTTACTACCTGATCGATTACGAATTATGGTCCGTCCATCTTGTGTCCATACTCATATGAAGGTACCGATGGATTCGATGTATCTCGCCTTCGCATATGCTATGCTCTGCTTTTTGTTTCGCCTAATTTAAATTTAAATTAAATGGAGGTTTGACTGGATTGTTGTCGATCATGTGTTCATGAACAATTAAAATATGCTAACAACAAAGTCAACGGGATGATCCTTAGCGCTGATTAGCACGCTGCAGATGTAGTGAAACCGTTGAGAAATCCTAGTACTTTACAGTAGGTGTTCTACTAAACTAAGTACAAGTTCCAACCCCTCATTTAGGAAGAAGTAGCAATAACAGATAGTTGCTTGTCAATACGAGTAACTGCCACTAGAATCTTGTTGTACTAAGTACATGTATCGTGATAAACTTGTTTAAGTAAAAAAACGCGATGCCTGAACATTACATCTAGGAGATTCACTGTCAGCATCCCTTGATTGGTATGATAATCACACCATTGCCTACGAACACTGTAACATTCTGTTATTTTATGTTCCTGTATAGGTGCTCAGTTCCCGAGACCAGATTTCAGAATGGAGCATCACAACAAACTAAACAATTGGCAAGATATCACCGTGTTGATAGTCTACTTCGCTGCTGTGCTGGCTGTGGGGGTGTGGGTAGGTTCATTACACTCACACATTAATGTTTCATATTGAACTACCTTGAACAAATCTTCCGGATAGAGGAGAATATTGAATAACTTAGGTTTCCTTGTTTCAAACTATGTACATGATTTTCGTAGATAATAGTTTTAATTTACGACTCTATCGACTAAAGAAAATATAATTTGACTTATAGGAAGAGGGATGTAAGCGAAACAATGTGACATGTAAAAATATATGCGAATTCTATTTTAAAGTTTTTTTTATTAATATTCCACATACACCAACTATATCACAAACGTTTCTACCAAACTAGAAGGTGCTCACAGAAGAAAAGTAGCCGAGGTGGCATTATTGGAGCGTTATATGCATAATCTTTGTGCCCTGTGTTTTCTGTCTAGTTTCTGTATTTCAATGTAATTGCTACTTCGTTTTGGTTGATTCCACAAGAAAAATAAACACAATATCAACATACCTTCGTACAGCTTCTAAATAACTCTAACATAAGTCATAACACTAATAATGATTGACATCATGTTTTCCTATCGGAAAATTACTTTTCGTCATAGAGTGAGAGTTATCAGAGACAAAACATACCAAACCTTAACGGAAATTCCCAAATAGTTGCCTATTGATGTAAGACATCGGACTTAAATGTAAATATATAAAAAACACAACTTTGTTCCCACATGGCTTTTTTTTTTTAAATATATTTTTCTGTATTTCTTACTCAAAAGATATGGATTGATACTCAAATTGCTAACATTTATGAATGTTTAAAATCCAGTTATTACAAGCATATTCTTCAAGATAAGACAAATGTCTAGGTTTTACATTTACACTGTCAAGTTATTTTCATGTTTTCAATACTTAACTAGCAGATATCAAAGACGAGATATGAGCCTAAATTTTGTTTACTATTTCAGTCTATGCGAAGTTCAAAACGGGGGAATGTGAAGGGCTACTTCCTGGCTGGCCGCACCATGCCTTGGGTAGCGGTAGGTATCGCCTAGTACTACTAGTGTATCTCCATCGATATTTGACTTGCCCTGTATCATTTCTTCATATGTTGTTTAAGTTGTGTTAGGTAAGTTACTGCGGATGGCAGTAAGTTGTTTCTGTTTTGGCTTAAGTCCTTGGATGGTCCTGTGTATTTTAAGTTGTTTCGTGCGTGTTTCGATAGACTATCGTGAGTTGTTTTGGCTAGTTGTTTTGGACGATTGTCTGCGGACGATAGTTTAGGTGGACTAACAATCACCTCAATTTCTCAAATAATTTAAGACTGCAGCAAAGGTACCCTACTGATCTCTTCTAACTTTGTACTTTTTTGTTTCATTGCTTACACTGGCCAAATGTGTGACGTCCACTCGGCTTTTTTTCCTTTTCACAGTAGAATGTCTTCAGCATCGTTGCAGTATCCAACACACTGTTTAAAGCTACTTGCTGACAATTTTCAATTGTTACATCAATTAATCACCCAAAGATAAAATCTGCAATTTAAGTGGTCTTCAGTTACAAGTTTTCAAAAGGGAAAAGATGAAACAGTTTTTAATAATATATACTTGATTATTTTGTTCCATGTCTTGTATTAGTCATATGTAATAGCTTATTACATTTATCTTGACAAAGAGGCGGATTGACACAGAAAATTTACAAATAATAATGTTTCCACTGTTGCCATTAAATTGAGTCAAGCAAAATATATCCTATACCAGATCATACTATCATTACTCGTAATACATATAGTATATAACTGTTATTGCCAGGTTGGAGCTTCACTGTTTTCTAGTAACATAGGGAGTGAGCACTTTATTGGACTGGCGGGGGCCGGTGCATCAACAGGGATAGCCATGATTCTGTTCGAGTGGAGTGTAAGTATTCACATTATACATAAGTCATATCTATTGTTTTATGTAATGTACATGAAATTCACAGGGTATACAGGATATAGTCAGAACATTTTTGATTGATATTAGGATGGTAAACAAAATTAGAAATGCAAGGCAATTAGGCACCTACAAATTACTTATTAATTAGTTATTGTCGACGCATTAAGACTTTAACGGAATAAATAAAAAATAACTGCGTTGTACGGCCACTTCGTCCATTTTGTACAGCGCATATATTGTTTCAAAACATAAAACAACATAGCGATGGAAAGGTTCCCATAAATGGCTCCGAATACTATTGAACAACAAATGCTTAAACAAAAACACATTTATTGTTCTTAATTTGCAGCCGGTGTTTCTGATATTGCTGCTTGGCTGGTATTTTATCCCTGTCTATATTTCCGCTGGGGTAAGTTCGTCTCATGTGTTTATTACTTTCTAGTAGTGATTATTCTATTCACATCTCATTTCTTACTGTCCTACAACATTCCATTTGGGATGTTTTTATAGGACATTTGCTTGTAACGACGGATGTTTCAGAAATCTGTATCGTCGGAATAAAAGTCATGTGAAACTATTGTTTCATCATTTACCCAATGTATCCGTTATGTATCATATTGTTTTATCATGAATGTTGACAGGTGTACACCTTGCCAGAGTATCTTGAGAAGCGTGTCGGAGGAAACAAGATCCGGATTTATATATCGGTTTTGTTCCTGGTGCTCGCTGTTGTCACCAAACTAGCGGTAACTTCATGAATTTTATTTGACACCCTTTACAGTTACATTCAATAACTAAGCAGTACATATCCTATTTAACACCCAATACAGTCTTAGTCACCGGGCTAGAGGTAAAGTGCTGTAATTCCTGTGATTTTATGACATTTTTAAGACGTTCCTATACTACACCCCACTTCACGGATGTAGCGTCACAATGGGACAATAACGTGACGCCAGGAGCTCGGAAACATTATAATGCCATGTTTATATAATTGTATAATTTCTGAGCTAGTTCTTGTTTGTTACAGTAGAAGTGGGGTCTCTATCCAAGCGTTCATACTTACGTGTAATCTAAATAAACTGTTTTTGTCACAATAATAGTTGTTCATTATATCAGAAACAATCAAGAAATGTCAAAGTGATAAAGCACCTTGTTTTATGAATAAAGCAAGAAATGAATTGATTGTAATTGATTTATTTGATAATTTGATTTTTTTTCAATCAATTCCTGACATTTTTTAAAAAGATATCATTGACATAAATAGAAAATGCTGTATTGTTTTAATTTTAATTCCTGTGACAGGTGAATATGTTTGCTGGTGGCCTCTTCATACAAATGGCTACCGGATGGAACATGTACATGTCTGTCATCATTTTGTTAGTGATCACGGGATTTTACACCATACTGGGTAAGGTTTGCTACGTCAATGTAACTTTACAATCATTGTCTACGACGTATAGTTTAGTAAACTGAATAAATAGATAGTATCTGAATTCTTTTGTTCTTCCTTTTTAATCATAATCGATAAATCAATTTAAATATGCATTTCAATTTAAATATAAGAAAGCAAAACCAAACCTTTGTGTCTGATATCGAAACATTGGTGTAAACAGACTGTGTGTCAATGAATGCCAGTTTGATCATGTTTCGCTGAAACGATATAATAGTATTTTAGGCTTATTTGTCAGAGATAAACAAAGCAATTTCTCATTGTTTCTTGGTGTTGCCTACAGGCGGACTCAAGGCGGTGATGTATACCGACACATTCCAGGCATTAGTCCTCACGCTCGGAGCTCTTCTCTTGTTTGGAATAGGTATGTATTTTAGCGTGAGTCGTTTTGCTGTAGTTCCGTTCATAGTTCAAGCGGTGTTACAAGCACAAGATATAAGCACATAAGTAACCAATTATATATGTTCAATATTTATTTTTGATTAATTTCGCATTGTCAAATACACCTGACCGGTTATTTTTAGCTTTCAGTCGTGTCGGGAGCTTGGAAAACCTGGAACGTTTGTATATGAATGCAACTGCCACTATCCAGATCGCCAACAGTACCTGTGGCTTACCAAAGAAGGATGCATTCCACGTGTTCCTTGATCCTGTTAATGGCGAGCAACCCTGGCCAGGTCTACTTGTCTGTTCCTCTCTGGGATGTGTCGCCTACTGGTGCTGTGACCAGGTAATGTCTTGTAATGATGTCATAACAAGAGTGCATTTATATTAAGATTTCTAGTATCATGATTGATTGATTGAACAAACAACTGATGATTTGGCCGTATGTTAGTGATTTCATGAACATATATCTAAAACATTGATAAGATTTAGTAGGTTTCAGAAATGTGTTTACAAGCACTAAAACGAGATTTGGTAAGATTCATTTACTGGAAGAAATAAAATTCATGTTCAATAAATTTAACTATTATTAAATACAATTTTGAAACAAATGTTTAGACGTTAAGGAATATATATAGGTTATAAGGAATTATTTAAAAATTAACTGATGTATATCCAAAATATTCATTGAAATATTTAAAAGGAAGTAAGCAATTTTCAGTCTATAGTTATCAATACGTATAAGGACTATCAGTTATTTTATTAACTCTGTAATTCTTTATACTCGTGTTAAATCATATGATGTCAATGTCAGGGTCAAAATGCTGTAAAACATTTTTATTTTTTTTAATAAACAATGGTAAACATTGACATACGGCGCTGGGGGTTGGGAGGGTGGACATTTTAGTGTCTTCTTTATTTTCAGGTTATAGTACAAAGATCTCTAGCGGCAAAGAGCCTTTCCCATGCAAAAGGCGGTTCGGTTATGGCTGCTTGCCTGAAACTGCTGCCGCTTTTCCTGATGATATTGCCGGGAATGATAAGCCGAGTCTTGTTTCCTGGTGAATGATTGTTGTTTGCACGAACGCAGTATATAGCATATATATCATAATATATAACCAATCTTATCGATAACATAATCTTCATTTCGTAAATCGCATCTATATTTTGTTTAACGCTAAGCCTTATTTCAATTACAAGTTTCACAGATTTCTACAAAAGCACTTTTATTTAGTTAGTTTTCACATTTCACAAGTAATTTTTATAACATATTATGGTTTGCTTTATTTTTAAAACTTTAATCTAGTTTATATTATCACAGTGATAAATATACTGTAGAACCTCGATAGTCTGATACCTAATAGGAATTTTTGTACTGAAATGCTGAAAAATAGGAAAGTTGAATATGAATTTGCATCATAGATTAGGATACAAGCTGAGTAGAGTTATGGCGTTCTGTTGTATATTATCAAAGCTTATTGTCAGTGTTGTGTGTTATGATGTATCGAAGGAACATTCACATTTCAGGTTTCATGTTTATGCTGACCGGAGCAGCAGATATGTCTTAGTTGAGTATCGCAGATATATACGGACAAAATGCTGAAGCGATCTTGTGTTAATATTTTAGATGAGGTAGCTTGTGTGGACCCTGATGAATGTATGCGAATATGTGAAAACCGCGTGGGATGCTCAAACATCGCTTATCCGAAACTCGTGCTGGAGTTACTTCCCAATGGTAAGTGGATAATAAATACCGCAAATCTTGTCGGTGCAGAAGTGACTAGCTCGTTGCAAACTGTGATGTAGTTTCCTCTTTGATGATTTTCAAGGTCGAACTTGTTTTAATGAAAAGAATTAACACCACTTTAACGGAGAAACGGCATGCGTGTCGGTTTTCACTAACCAGTACCGTTCTTATGAATCATTTAAAAGAAGTCGGCTGATGTGATTATTAATAATCAGCAAACGAAAGCTTATGATATGTTTACTTTAAATTACGCAGGTCTAAGGGGTTTTATGATGGCTGTGGTTCTCTCCGCCATCATGAGTTCCCTCACGTCAATCTTTAACAGCTCAAGTACTTTGTTTACCATGGATTTGTGGAGACGATTCAGGCCTAAATCCACGCAGCGAGAATTACTCCTCGTAGGCAGGTAAGGCTTGCTGTGAAGCCAATGACACGCTGCATTAGGGTGTTTGTCACCTTCACCTCCATACTTTCAGGGGTAGTGTGACGAGAGGTGACGCGTGCAAATGGTGGTGCAGGAATTTCTTACTTAACTGGAAAACAAACAATTCGTGTGTTGATCAATGATGTCCTATTGTATCTTTGGTGTCTCCTCAGTTCCTATTGTTATGACTCTTATGTTCATGCTGAGTTAGGAAAATATATTTTTGTATGTATTTCAATTTTGTTCAAGCCTAGGTCTAAACGAGGTAGTACTCACTCGTAGGTGACAAAAAGTTTCAGCGTTGATTTTAGTTCTACTCTAGAACTACTAGATGATTAATTGGTATGAGAAACGAAAATGAGACAATTAATTCTAAACGTTAATTAGCATACTGTTAACCGTAATGGCCACATATTTATGTCATTTTTGTTTCATCTGCCTGATGTGACAGAGTCTTCATCCTCTTCATGTGTGTATTGAGCATCGTATGGTTGCCTTTGATCAAAAGCTCACAGGGAGGACAACTCTTTGCATACCTCAACATGGTCCTAGCAAGCCTAATGGCACCAGCTGGCCCAGCATTCCTCATGGCAATATTTTGGAAGGGAACGACAGAAATAGTAAGCAGATACATAGATTTTGCTATAAAATAGTTCTGATTGCTTTACAAATGGTAAGCGGAAGAAAAAAGTTGCATTCTGGATGCTTTGTTTGAAACTAAACATGTCTGTTGTTAATCTGTTTAACATATGGATAATGAAATAAGAATCTAGGATTTGAGATCTGATTGTCTTATATAGGTTTAGCTGTTGTATCACGTGTATCGAGTGTGAGGAGGTGTGTACAATCACGTGGTGTAGATAAGTTAAATAGATGTTTTGTCATAGAAAATACAGTATTTGAACTCTCCAAACTAGCACAATAGCTTTACTTCTCAAATAATTGATTAATCTACAATACCTCCTGGTAACATGGATAATGACAACATACAACTGTGTTCTTTCTACAGGGAGTAATTGGTGGCCTGCTTCTAACTCACATCTGTGGCATCGTACGTCTGGTTTTAGAATTTACATACCCAGCGCCACCTTGTGGGGAACCGGAGACCCGACCAGCAATTCTCTACAAATTTCATTTCCTGTACTTTGGATTTTTTAATGTGTTTCTAGCGTTTGTGGCTATAGCGTTGATCAGCCTGATGACACGACGACGGACCGATGAGGAGGTAGTTTGTTTTATCTCATAAGTTATACGGTTCAAATATCCAGTGTCGTGTTAATCCTATCTTGTATCATCGTATCTGGGTTAAGATATGCATTGAAGAGAGAATGTAAAATTTGTCCAATCTTAACTGATCGGTTTTATGTATGTGTAGGCTATGTTTTGTGTCGAATATGTGAAAGATTTGATATCAATCGAGCCCTGAATTTATCCTATAGCTACAACATGTGACCTGGTGGACAAGAGTTAATGCCCCTGATACGATACCGGAAGACAAAGATGAGGAGTACGCGGCCGTCGACAACGATGACATCAACCTTAAGCCGGTGGATGGTGTAGCGGTCATCGATAAACCGACTGGCGAGAAATACGTGTCAGGTATGCAATCGTCAATTACTTAAGTACCATGTTTTCTGTTCTTTAATTTCCTAAAAGAACAGATACATGGTCTCAGGTTACCAAGGCGGTACTTAGGAAGGATAATGAGGGTAACAAAGACGGGCTACCAAGGCAAAAAGTTGATAATGTGTATATATATGAGAAGAAAATGATTTACTTATTACTTTCCCATACTAAATTAGCATGTACAGTGCTATAGTTTCCTATTTTTAGGTAGTTATATGCTATAATTTCAAAATAGTAACTAGCATATCTTTTTATTAGAATCATTTTGAGTATATGAATTGTCAACAAGTGAAACCGCTAATAACAATTATTGTTTTCCCTTTTAGATGATGAAACCAACCTAGATGATGAGGCATCCATGATAGCAGGCGCACCAAGGCCATGTTTGATCAAACTTACCTCGTTCCTGTTGGGAGAACCCGAACAAGGAAGGGAGATAACTAGGATGTCGTTACGACAGAAACAAATATTTATGACTGAACGGAAGGGGTACAAATGGCTACTAAACGCTTTGGCCGTCTGTATGATCGGGATCGTAATGTTCCTTGCTGGATATTTCGCGTGATGTGCACGTAATGGAGAGAGTATATTAGAGTGATCTTCGTTTTAGCCATGTTAGACTTTCGGATTAGCTTTACAGATATGATTTCAAAGTTTGGTGACTTACGTATACTAAACGTAACGAAAACAAGAAATCATTATACGTTATACTGTATCATTATACGTTATACTGTATCATTATACGTTATACTGTATCAGTATACGTTATACTGTATCAGTATACATAGTATTTTTCATCAGCCATGTGTCTTATACGTAAATACTCGACATGTTAAGTCATGCTATGGTTTACATTGATGCGTATTATATTTAAAACATAACAATATGATTGATTAAACACATTTATTTTAGGTTAGTCTCCTCCGTTTTCCTTTGTAACTTATGTTAATCTATTTATTTTGTAGCTGTGGTAACATGTAGTCCTCTCATGTATACGTTGTAACTTATACAGTACTGTGTTACACATGTGAGTTGTTCGCTCGTTGTAACTTTGTTACACTTAAGTAGTATAGTTTTAACTTAGTTTGGTCCTCTCAGGTATATGTTTCACCTTCGATGAAACGTCTTCATCAGTAGTATACATTGTAACTCAAGTTAGTCCCGGGTGTTTTTTTAAATTAGGTTAGTCCTCTCCATTAAACGTTTTAACTAAGCTTAGTCGTTTATGATTAACGTTGTGATTTAAGATATTTCTAACTTGGAACAGTTGTTTGCCTTTGAATCTCTATCTACAATTTCATTATCCCACACACCTGTTAATTTACAACAGGCAAAAAGAAATATTAAATATTTGTTATAAACCATTCTTTTCCGGCTCAAATGTCCATCTTATACAAAATGATTGTATAGATAAAGATAAACATTAACTGTTAGACATCACTGAACTTACTACGATGGAAACAGCGATATTTATATAGCACAACATTAGTGCGTGATGATCACACAAGTATTTGCCTATTTGCTTACCTGTACACGTTTCGTTTTCAATGAAGGCTCCATTTAACAAAAGGGGATGTATATACTAATAAGAACTGAGATTATTATCGTATACACTGCTACTAGTATAACGTAGTATTAGTAACTATACAAAAATACAACGTCCTTGAAACATCGCATGATGTCAGAGTGCAATGACAGATTCCAATACCATACATGCTGGTGAACAAGTTTAAAGTAATAATCAAACAAATCAGATCCAAACGTTCTGAATTATATATAATCAAGTCGTAAAATACAAATAACAGTAAAACTGAATTTCTCTATCCAAAGACTGTCGCTATCGATAAAATTATGAAGTTTTGACATAGCATTTCTCTGTTCTTGTTTTTATTAATTTTCGTTTGTTTCCTTTTTTATTTTATTTGTATCAATGGATTAAAATCTTTCTATTCAATTTGTGTTACGTTTTAAATCAATACATGTCTATTGGCACCTCCAGGGAATGTTTTCTTTTCCTTTTTTATTCCCATGTTCAGTTGAATAACTCTTTTCTGTGAGTGATCATGTTGGCCAGTCGCTTACTTGGTAATATGCGCCGATATATTTCGTATGAACAGTGAAAAGACTGACAAAGGGTAGATTAATACGCTAAGTACTAACAGCAGAGACAAGAAAAAAACAAATTCCTACGTCGAATGTACTGATCTTATGTTCGTTGTATTGCTGAACGTAGATTTAAATATGGGAATTTAATTGTTATATAATGACAGTCAAGTCAAAAATGAAATGAGTTGAAACATCCATTAATAAATATTTAATCCATATCAAACAAAGACTATCATTGTATGAGGCACATTGCAAAGTTACAGCTTATTTAGCATTATCGTAAAACATCGTGAAACTTTTTATCCATGAAATACATAAATAGGAATATCTGTGTGAAGGTACTGATATACAAAATTCGTTTGCGCTTAAATGCTAAATTTATGATTTGAAATTTACTTTTACTTTCAAAGCAATACCAAAGGTATATGATAATCATATATTGACATTAGTGTACACCAAGTTCAGAAATAGGTGTAGTTACTCACATATAATCGGTAGTGTTCCAAAATATAGGATTTCCGAAGGTCGTATTCATTTGCGAAAAGTCGTACAGAAACTTGATTCTATTTATGTCTTATTGACACAATACACACAAGAATTTCCACAATAGTTTCTGATATGGACCTGTTTGTAATGTTTTCCTTCAAGTATGATATAAGTTGAAGGATGGGAAACACGTGACCAGGGATTAGGAGAACACGTCGTCTTGGGATTAGGAAAAAACGTATCCTACGTATTAGGAAAACACCTCACCTAGGGATATGTATAGCACGTAGTCGAGGTATTTGGGATACATGTAGTCTTGGGAATAGTTAAAAACACGTAGTCTTTGAATTTAGGGAGCAAGTAGCTTTCGAGTTAGCAAAAAGTAGTCTGGGGACTAGGGAAACACACAACTCTGTGATTAGAAAAACAAGAAGCAAACAGATTACAGTAACGGGAAGCCTTTGGATTGATGAAACACGTAGCCTGTGTATTAGGGAAACACTTCGTCTAGAGATTCAGGAACCACGTACTTCGTATTGTCACCAGTACACTCACTATATTTTAAAAGTTGGCCAGGTATCTCACAAAATTACATTCATCGAAAATATCCCAGTAAGAAAAACATAGTTGCCATTGTAACGAGAGCTGAGGCTGAGATCCATGGCGACCACCTGACGTTTTCGATGAGATATTTCCGCTTCTGTTCGTACGTCATCTCCATGAGGCTAGGTTGTTTGTTCGAGGTTCCGAGAAGCATGACTAAGAGGCGATCTCGGCACACATTTGAAGGAGTCTCCTTGTTAGAGTTATCTACGGATGTAATAATTACATCATGTTTAATTCTCAGCACCGTGTAACATTTTACACAGATCGACAGTGATGTTCAACTATTAAATTGGAAGTAATACATCTTCGAATCACCAAGCGACACTGATTTCTTTAAAGTCAACTTTTACCAAGCATAATTACAAATAGAAAGTCATTAAATACACAGACTTAATGTTTCTCTCAGTCATATTGTTTTATGTATGGTCTGTCAGTTCAATGAACGAGCTGATTTTGTGTGTTTCGTATGGAAGAACGTAGCTATTTTCTGTGTTATTTAGCCTAGATATTTCCTTACCTATAATACACACTAGATTTTTCTGTATCATATTTTATGGACAAGATATTTTCTCTTTGTCATACTGTTTAGACAAGATGGCTATGCAGATTTGATTTAACATCCTGTTGAACCGATTTATTATGACCTAGAACTGTTACTAACGTGATCAGTTACACTGACTTACCGATATCGACAGAATCACTGAGTTGATCATCTTCACTATCATTTCTATTGTTAGAGCAATTGTCTTGCTCCTCGAAGTTGTCTGACATTTCCGTTTCTCCCGTCGATGGTTTTGAAGGCAGGCATTTCATTCTTGTCCAGTAGGTAACATTTTCCATCTGAAAATTTCACAATAACCCCCGTTACTTCCTATCACTCGTAAAACAAAACACAACCTAAGCTATGATCTTCTTTCAATTTGTATTTAGTTATCTTGACAAATCAATTGTTATGAGTACTTTTGCACTACATGCGAATGCATTTGTGTTCAGTGAGAAATCAATTAGATCGAGAATGCAATTTGCAAAACTAGCTAACATTTACTCTCTGATCCCAATACATTTCCCGTTACATATCTGCTGACGTGCGCTTGGTGCGTCCCCCTAACAACGTAGTAACATTTTACGCAAAGAAGTATTCATATATATAACTTACTTGTTCCTCAGTTCTTGGTTTGGTGAGTAAACTGAGAATGACGATGACAATACCGCTAAACAATACGAGGATAGCACCAAAGTTCATGAAGTGCACTCTGTATAGAAAAGCAGGCCTCGTTTCGGGCATACCACATGGTGGAATCGGAAACATGAACTCGATAAATTCAATAGCTAAGCATTGGCTATGCTCTATTGCACAACCATTAACACAATATTTTCTAGTATGCATACACGATAATGTCCGAAACCTTTGGGAATCGACAGCAAATCGTTACTGGCAGAATATGATCAATTTTAAAAGCCCTCTTATAACGGAACCGAACAGTCGTTTTTATGGATATGCAAGAATCATACCACGAGATACAGACATTTGAGAAAATTCAGTGTATACAATATCTGTGGTTTTGAAAATATTTGTAAATGGGTTAATACACTATCTAGGACGTACACTATCTGTTGTTCGTTTCCAGAAGAGGATCAAGGCGAAAGCAGAGCTCAGTGCTTCCATGAGACATGAATTCACCATGTTGACATAGTTGTACAAGAGACCCCTTTGGGATCCCTTGATTAGGGGCAGCCAGAGTATACTCGCCACACACATAAACAACACGAACAACCTATAACATAATAGACTAGCACATAGACAGTCATATAAAGTCGTCAGTACAGGTTGTCAAAGGCTGCGAATACAGAGAGAGTAGGTGATATAATTTGTTACTTTGCATGGTTTAGGAAAGGTGCAATATTCACATTAAACTATATAGTTAATCAGAATTAGATTATATACAAATAGTTTTAATTAATATATATTGGTCGAATCTAAGCTATGCAGTACGAGTCGAATTTCATCCGTTGTTTTGTGTTTAAAACGTATTTAAGACATACATTGTGCACTTTGTTTTGTTGGAATACTGGTTTCGATTCAGCCAGGTACATTTTGTCAGCCACAACTTTTATACTTTTTGCAAGTTGCACCACAATGACAAGGGAAGAAGAGAGTCAGGAACCTTTCTTCTTACCCCCAGGAGGGTTCTTACCCTTCTTACCCTTCCATTTGTTGCCCTTGAAGCGAAGCCGAAGGTTTAGCCTTCTTCTTAGGAGGCGCTGACCCCTGCGAGGTACTGGCCTTCTCAGCCTGAATCCTCTTCACTAGAAGTGCAGAGGCGACTGAGTCCTCCTTCAAATCCTTCTGAACAAAAGGAAGGGCCCCTCCAAAAAGAGTGGACCCTGAGAAGGAGGCAGTCAACAATCTGGAGCGGTAAGGCTCATCGACCGGGTGGTTTTTCAAAACTGAAAACCGCCTAGCCAACAAGACATTGACGAGGGATGACACCTGTAAAGCTGCCAGCGCTCTCAATGCCCCGTTCAGGGCAGAGGTCACTCTGTCCTGGATGTCGGCCTGCTCTGTCTCGGTAATCCGACCCTCAGGCAAGTCGGATACCCTATATAGACAAACCGTCAGGTAGTCTATATAAGACAGAATCTGGATGGAGAGACGCAGCAGTCTCTCCATCTTGTGGTGTTCTTTGGGACCGAACACCACCTGGTCCACCGATTTACCGGGCCAGGCTGCAAGTTCCCTCGATTCCAGCTTAGCTGG